GATGGACAATCTGAGATAACAAACAAAGCCGTGGAGCAGTACATTCGTCATTTTGCCAACGGACTAGCATCAACTGAGCAATGCTTACCAACGGTGGAGGATCGGATTGAACAAATTAAAGAAGTCCAAGATGAACTTAAATGTGTGATGGAAGAAGCTCAAGAGACGATGAAGAATCAGTTTGACAAGAAAGTGAATGTAACGCCGAAGTGGAAAGTGGGTGAAGAAGTCTGGCTAAACAGTAAGCATATATCAACAACTCGTCCAACCGCAAAGTTCTCTCACCGTTGGTTGGGACCTTTCCCCATAGAAAGCCAGGTGTCTACTAACGCATATAGATTGAAGTTACCAGAATCCATGTCAAAGATCCACCCGGTATTCCATGTGTGTTTATTACGAAAAGCCAACAAAAGTCAAATTGAAGATCAAATACAATCACCTCAAGCACCAATAATAATTCAAAATGAAGAAGAATATGAAGTACAAGAAGTGTTAGACAAAAGAAGACGAGGAAGGAAAATTGAGTATTTAATTAATTGGAAAGGATATACGCCGGAACATGATACATGGGAGCCCGAATCAGGACTTAGGAATGCGCAAGAATTAGTTAAGGAATTTAACCGCAAGTATCCATCAAGAGAACTCAAGTCTAAACGGACAAGGAGAGTAAGGAGAGGATGAAGCTTTTTCCCTACGGGGTTTTTTAATGCCAATCTGTGGAAGATGTTAGACCCAGCAAGAGGGGGTTGGAACATAAAGGGGGGAGTGGTGTTATGAGCCCATACGGATGATATGCTTGTATGCTAATACTGAGATCTCACTCTACTCGAGTCCAGCGAGTCAGAGATTTTCTATCCTCACGTTGCAATCTTATTATAATCCAAGGACACCCTTTGTAGACCCTTGATCGCCAACTCTCAAGGTCCTAATAGTCATGTGCAAGAGACACATTTGCATGAGATCCTTCTTGCTACCCAACCCTTCACTTTTACTCACTTGCAGTGCTAAGATTGTCATTTGGTCCTATCAAACAGTTTTCTGGTGCATCATACATCCTTGTTTCTTGCTCAGCTCTCTGTTGAGGTTGGAGCTATTGATTTCTGACCGGTTATGAAGCTCAAATGTGATCTAACAAGCGTAAAAAGGGCAAAGCATGGTTCCCACATCATTTCTTGGAAAGGTAAATAGATACTGAAGACATACAGATTTAGGACAATCTTTTTACATCCAATCTCGTCTGTTTTTTGACTGACTTTTTTCTTACCTCCGACCTCCCCTGATCTGACTATAGTTGTAATTGAAAATGATGGCTAAGTCCGTCACATTCATCCTTCCCCATTTACCTACAGTTTGTGATTATCTACAGAAAACTACGATTAGCGAGTCTGCAGCGTACATGGAGAAAAAGTCAGCTTTGAAACCTAATCACATTCATAGAATCCATGACCAAGATCCGATGGATGCGCTTCGAGTTGCTAGTATTGGAGCTGATAAAAATCTTCGGTGGAGACATGAATTTAGAACTTGGGAGCCGTCCATCTGGATTCTGAAGTGCAAAATGAATGCTTTTGAAGTTGAATGTATGCGCTGCCTTTGAGACACATTTCTTGCAACTCGAAAAGCCGATCATTATTCGGGTCGGATAAAGTGAACCCCCCGCGACGGTGTTGACGGTGTGTCGCGGGGTCGAGATTGGGCAGCTGCAGCATCGCGACTTTTCTTCCGAAAACCCAGTCAAACATGTGAGTCCAAGTTGTCTTTATGAAATAGTAGGATAAGATGAAAGCCTTTCGATTAACTGATTGCCTTCTACATCATGTCTCAAAAGGTCATCATCAAATCGTCGCTTGTTCTACGATCCGAAGAATCCTAAACTCCTTTCTGATGAAGAAATCAATGAACTTTCACCAGCAGAATGTGATGCAGCTTGTCTACAAGTGGATCAGATTCTTGTTTCACTTCTTCAGAGTAAGTCCCATATTTTGACAAATTCGACCCTTCCTCGCGTCCTGACCGATCAAATTTTTCATTCAGACATCGATGCCAACTTTGGACGAACCCATCGTACTATCACTCACAAAATCTTACCAGAGGTAGAGCGTTATGGGGAAGCAAGTAGAGGGATATGGGAAGGCCTCAAAGTTGGTCTTCCCAAAATATCATCATGTTTAATGTTGGTCTGATCAACTGCGATATGTCCAGTTCTGGCAACACTTCTTTGAGGCTTCTGCAAATGTTCAACTGTCAGGTTACGACAACGACGAGACGGAAACCTCTAAACTGACCGAAGACGAAAGGCGCGATGAATCTTTACAGAACGACCTGGCTTCAGAAGATGTTTCGCAGGGCGTACCCCCATCAGCCAACGAAGATCGGGACCTATCATCAAGCGCCCTTGTTCGTATTTGCTTTTGCTATGAACATCCCTGTGTGAAGTATCAGTAGTCAACCCGAACCTGATAACTTACACAGGATCCGGCCGTACCTTCTGGACCACCGGTGGTTGACATGAGTCATCAGAGCGGTTCAACAGCAAGTCTTCGACGTCCGGTCTGGAATGATTTGAGTTTCGATTCACCAGACAACACTTTACAGAATCCAACGGCTCAAAATATTTCACACCTCTTGAATAATTCACACAGTAATTCACTTGCTTCTGGTTTCACTGCCTCTCCTATCGTGCCTGGTAACGACGAGGGTAATTCTGGGATAGAGGACGGCTCGCCAGCGCCACGTCGAAAATCTGCTGGAAGAGGTTCGATGCTCTTGCATCAAGTTATCATGAAGAATATGATTCAAACCAATCACAGTAGACCCAAGGTAAGCACACCTGCGAAGCCAAAGGGGATCGGTCCGCTCCAGGGTACTTCTGGTCGGATCGCTTTTCCTGCGGAAGTCAACGATCCCGGTTGGAACGGTATCGCTGATCTTAGAAAGACGACTCTAGAAAGCTTCACAAGTCCTAGTAAGACAATACTCCAACCTTGCATTGGTGAAAGTTCAAAGAAGGGTAAATCACGTGAATGGGAAGAAGAAGATTCAATGATGGCTGGTATTCCACCTCCACAAACTTTACATTTCTCAGTTCCAAGATCTAAACTTGCTCGAACACCAGCAAAGGAAGCCGCAAGATTGGTGACAAGGGATATACTTGAGACCGCAAGATTCCGTGCGGGGTATGCGAATCCAGCCGATCTAGAGGATAGTCCTTTGATAGAGCCTCCGAGCGTACTTCGAGAATGGAATGCGAGAGGTTATGAATCCATGTTTCGAAATCGAACCGGCGTTGAATCCAATCGAAAGGGCTTTGAAGAGGAAGGCGATAGTCTTAGTTCAATTCAGCAGGACGAGAGTACTTTACAACTACAAACTGGAAGTAAAGATGCTATGATCGAAAGGCGAGCAAGTCAGTCTCGCAATTCATACAAATTGCAACCGAATCGGTCTCGTGATGTATCGAATTTTCAACCGAGCCAATCTCGTGATGTATCAAAATCACTCATTGATCTGTGGGCTGGGGATTCTGAACGATTGTCGATCAAGGGACCTTATGATCATCTGGAAGATCATGATGAATGTATTGGAAAACGACCGCTACCCGATTCCAGTTTTGATGAAGAATCTTGGCAACCCGACCCCAAGCGTGTCTCACTTTCAAGGTCACATCAAAATAATCCAGATGAACAAGATCGATCATATGAAGAGGGTAGTAGCTTACCCTTATCGCCTACTTTGTTCGGTGTTGGTAAAATGAGCAATAATCAAAACCAATTTAAGTCATCACGAGCAGGACCTTCAAACGTTCTTAGGGGTTCATTGCATCCATTTGTACCGATGCAACCTGAACAAATGGATACATTTTTTGGTGGCGAGTTATTAGAAAGTGAATGTTTTGAACCAAGTCCATTACAAGGGAAACGAGTGAAACATCTAGAACACAATCAGTAAACAAGTTTAGAGGATCTAGGCTTTTCAAGTACAATTGATGTGTTGTGTTTGTATGTAATCATTTAGAGAATGTTTGATGAAGCTGAATTTACGATCAGCCAAATTGATGATGTATAAATAGTATTTGCTAGCAAGATTCGGGTCTGAGGTTTTTTTTGGGATAATTCATTCGTGAAGGGCCTTTATATTGAGACAAAAATCGTGACCTCGAGTGTTTGGAGATTGAACGCTGATCATGGGTTTCTCTACTATAGCATAGGACTGAGCTCAACAAGTCTTGATAGGCTTATGAGAATAGTCAGCTTGGTTTTGAAGAGTAACGTAAATACTGTGATACATACTCTTGTCTGCCAGGTGGTAGTTTTTCAACGGCACAGAAGGATGGGTTTGTTTTGGTGTACACGAATGTTTTCAAAGAGGATGATCATACAGCTGCATTATCAAATATGCATGGGTTCCATGAGGATTTTTGAGCTCGTTCTGTGACCTTGGCATTGTTATTCCTTGAAAAGACTCTAGCAAACTACAACATAGCTATCTGTCCCGCAGGTGGCTGGAATTGGACAAGAAGAGGAATCTCAATCATATTCCTGCTCATAATACTTGACAATCAAAGGTTGTAGAACCTCAATAGGCTGAAATTTTGATCTCCAAGGGCTCCTGGATTACATGCCTCGCAACCTCTGAGAGAATCTGCCCAAATTATTTGTTTGAGGTACTGTTTACGGCCAGATCACGAGGTTTCTTGAGAGGTACAACCTCGGGTTCCAAGCCGACTCCTTCGTAGCAGACATGCCATAAAAAATCTGCTTCAGAATCATCCCACGAACGGTGATTGCACAGTTTGTGTGGTAGATATGGACGTCATACATCCTACCAAACATGGGATGATGTCACAATCCCGAACAATCTGATTCAAGACCGTACATAATTTGTGCCTGTGTTGAGAAATGTACACAAAAAGCACAGTGTCAGCCGAGGGCCATTCTCCGCACCAATAGGCTTATTGGGCTAAAGAAGACCAGATCTTTTGCACACAATCTGACCTGACAATGGTTTCTACTCATACTAATAGGCGCTACCCCCGGCGCTACTCCAACACCAGGATCCTGTCTTGGAATATCCCGAAAGGTATCTTCAATTCATGGCGAATCCTATCGCTTATCACCCAGTACTCCACGTTGGTAGCCACGCAAAATGATCTTATCAGACAGAGCGCAATGACGCAACGATCTCATATCGAAATCGACCTTAATGCAATTCCCGCCATGGAGGAAAGCGAGAAGAGCTTGATGGGGGCCAACCTGGCACAAACCCTTGACCAGATCCCCAATCTAGAGCTTTCTGATGATAGATTACCCCCAAAAACTGGACTTGTTTTTTCGCACAGTCATTCAGCTTTCAAGCCATATACGCGGAGCTCGACTCGAACCCTAAGTGTCCAGGGAGAACCCATGGACGAAAATGGAGCTCAAACCCTACGTGACCAGTCCGTGTTTCTTGGCGAGTGTGATGAATCTCGCCTGAAGCCAAGGACTCAAACATCGCAAATCCCAAGTTCGTTCGTTGCACAAGGCTGCACTGGCGATCTTTCCAATAAATGCGATCTTGGAAGAAATTCACTTCCGTCTTCGAAAAATGCAATACCAACTCTCGTTGATGCTTTCAAAGGTGCTTTAGGAGATGTAGAGCCGAATGAAACTAGGCATCCCACGAACCAAGCTAGCTCTCCGCATGCAGGCATCATGGTACGAAAATCATCCAGTGTACCATCGATTGAAGCGTCTTTGTACCTGCCACAACCTCACGCAACAAATCTGCACTACCTGCCTCACAGTCATGAACCTATTCTGACAAAAGACCTTCGTCCTTCCATGATGCATCAATCCAAAGCACTGGCATCTTCTCAAATAAGACAAGGATCAAAACGAAAATATATGATGCCTGAAAAGCCTATGAACACTGGGGAAGAAGTGCATTCGAAAAAAAAGAACTCGATGTATCAACATGGAAAATATCCGAATAGCCTTGAAATCAATGAGCTACGTATGGTAGATACAAATTCAAGGATATCCACAAAGATAAGTCCTCAAGCATCAAAGTTTTTTCGACATCAACTGCGATATGAAGATCTGGGTTTGTTTGACTTTAAGGTCGAGTCCAAGTATACTTCATCCATGGCACAAATTTTCTCACCGCATGTTCCAAAGGAAAATATATACTTTGGGGAGACGCCCAAATTCCCCGAGTTCAATACGGCCAACAAGCCGACTGCAACACCATTCAGACATAGCCAGAAAACTCTAGCAATCGAAGAGAAATTGAAAAAGGCTTACGCATTGCAACCGTCGGAAATTCAGAGTCTGTTTCAAATGATACGTTGTTACAGTGATTGGATAGGTGATAGATACCCACAGAAGTTTTTAGAATTGGAATCGTACTTTGGAATTCGTAAGCTCATATTGTTTACAACACCTCTATAAAGCAAATGGTAGGCATACCTTTTTGACAATTCTTTGTCCAAATAAGCATGGAAACGCTACTCTGAGAGCTCTTTGTATTTGATTGGGATTTACAACCCAACTGTGAGCCGGAAGTCACAAAGGGATCCAGGTTATGCAGACAACCTTGAGATCGTGGATGATGTCTATGACAGACTTCGATGGATGAGACAGGTCCAGTCAGCCTATGAAAGTAAGTATCTTGAGCACTCAACAATACCGATTTTTTGCATTGATTCTGGAAATGCGCAATGTTCCAGTTCCCTCATCAAGACAAAATCTAGGTGAAGCACTGGTCTGGGGAGGCTACTTCCTGTTCTCAAAAGATCGCACATACGGTCAAGCAGAAAGCTGGTTCAACAGACTTGTCTCTGAATGGAGTACAATCCAGAATCCAATGTCTGATGTTGGGCCATGTCCCTGCACATTCACTGTAAAATGTATGAGAGACATTGCAGCAATGACAGAGAATACCTGGAAAACCAGTAAGAATTTCAGAGACTCTATCAACCAAATCTACCAGTACAGTCAGAAAACAGGTCATGGAGCAGAATTTTGGGTACAGCTTCCACCTAGGAGCAGTTTGGCATCAAATGACAAATTAAATTGGGGTAACTATTTTGACTAATCATTTAACTATCTTGATCTTCTAATGATTTTTGAATGTTTGTTGGTGTTTGGTCCAAAGATCAACAAGATTATATTGTTAAGAAATTGATTGAAGCTTGCAGAGACCCTCAAACATTTTCAAACCAAGTCAAATCCTGGGGGTTTGACTCGATTCAGAGCACATTACTATTAAACCTAGGAAACCAAATAGAGAACATACAAAGGCAACAGCAGATGATAATAGATCAAGTATATGAAGTGTTGAATCTGAAGACAAACATGGATCATACCAATAATCTACAATTGCAGTTAAACAAAGGTAATGACCAACATGCTTTGTCTTCTTCATGAAGATAGCTCAACTGAAGATGATATTTTGTATGATTCATATTATTATAGGCACCCATGCCAGACAGTTTTCAAACAAGATCCATATGTTGAGATTCATAGCAGAACACCTTATGGACATAAAGTTTCAGACTTCAGGTCTATTGAAAGAGATAGAGGATAACAAATTTGGGCTTATGGGCAAAAATGAAAGAGAGGTTTTGACTTTGACTTTGATGCTAAGATACAGAAAAACAAATTATCTGCTAATTTAAAGGCTAGTATAGTGAAAAGCAGCATTAGTTTTATGAACAATTGCAAATCTTCATTGAGTGCTATGTCAATTGTTAGACTTTCTTGAAATAACTTGATATTCAAAGGAAGCAACCATGTCTCTTTTTGGTTTTGTTTTCAAGGGTTGATGTTGCCATCAAAATATTCTCTTTTTTGTCCACAGTTGTGATTTGTGAAGTCCATGGGACATACACATATTCCTCTTGATGGAAGATCAATTTGTAAGATCTGGATGGACTCAATGCAAGATGTGTGGTGGTACAGAGTAAGTCTCTACACAACAAGCCCCCCTTTCATCAAGAAACTGTTTTTTGGGGTTGTGACAATTCACAGTTGGAGCTGGGTTGGCAGAGGGTTGGGATCTGGGCCTTACATCAGTTTTGAAAGTCATTCACTGAATGCAGTGGTTTGACTGCTCCTCAAGGGGTTGAACAACTGCATATAGCAAACCACTTGTAAAAACATGTGGAACAGCAACCTTTCCACTGTGGTTTATGTACCGTAGACTATAAATTGGTTGTAAGACTGTTTGTAATTAACCTAGCTGGCCAGCTGTGGGACTCATCTTAATGTTGGCCAATGCACACACCAGCTTTTCAGTCCTTTGGGCACTTCCAAATAAAGTGCTTTGCCCTGAATTAAAGGGCAAAGATGTCATTTCTTTTCATCATCACCCTTCACTAATTTCATTCATCATCATCATTGTCCATGATCACCAACAATAATAATGTTCCCAGTAACAACATCAGTCTCTACATAAGAAATGATTCTCACCATCATTATCACCCTGCTAACCACATGAATCAAAAACCTTGGCCAATAAGGTGATGCAATACTTCAAGGACTTCAAATTTTATTCACTTATCACCTCATTCAGTTTGAATCCCAAATCACACCCCAAAATCTTGGCTTCCCTTGAACAAACACCACCACCATGACAATTCTTCCAATCACAAGCACCCCAATAAAAAATAAACTTGAGAAATCCGCCCTATTGTAACTTTGGTATTTGTTTTTTTTCAGTAATTTGATGTCAATGGTCTGGTTGATTGGTACTTTTACCTTTCAAGATCAAGGAATGAACATGTTAATTGAGCGGAATCATTTTCCTCAATTTCTACAATTCTAGTTCCCAGTCAATCAACTCATTCAACACAAACACTCACAAACACTTATGCCCCAAAGTCTGCACAACAAAATGCATACTGTTTTCTAACCACCTATGTCTGATCTCATCCAACAGAAAGAGTCATCACTTTAGAAACTCAAAAATTTCTCAGATGATCAAAGCTTATTAATAATCCTTTATCCCATTGCTTAGTGCTCTCTGATTTCAGCTTGTTCAAGCAAATCAGATGAAAGAAGATGCAGTATCACAGACCCCAATCACAAGTCACTGGCAGCTCAGTGCATCCTGGCAAGTTGAATTCATTTTGAATATGTTTCAAATTGGTTGTTCAGCTGACATCATTCAGTATTGAGCAAGTTTTTAGATATATGTTGACAATTCATTAGGGCCCATTCTGACACCACAAAAAGATACTATCTGACAAAATTTCACACCAAAAGTGTTACATAGCGCCAGATAGTATCTTGGTCCAAACTTGACCAGATAACTGAAATCTGATTGCTGTTTGGTCTGGATATCATGGCATCAAGATCTGAATGTAAAGCTCAAAATATTGGTCCATATTGACATACAGCCTTTTGGCTGTATCTTGAGTCAATATCTTGATGTGGCCCTCCCTCAAGTTCAACCCCCATCCATCTATCGCTTCTTCCTCCTTTTTCATTACCCACCCACACACCCCCTTTTGTTTTTGGATCTTCACTCCTTTGCTCAGCCATCCTCACAGCCTAGTGGTTTTTCAATCAACTTGTTTGCTACTGTCTTTGTGTCTATTGTTTTGTTTTTTGTTCTCTTTTGCTTTGTCTCTTTTTATTTATTTTCAATCTGTGATTTTGTTATTAAATAGTCAAATTGATTGTTCAAATTGAACCAATGTGGTGTAATGTCAACACAAAAAGGAAAGTCTAGGATGCAAATGAAGATCTGGATGACTGGTTCAAAAGATTGAGGCAAATAAAAGCAATAGATCTAAGGTGATATGGTTGTTACCAAATCACAATATGATCATCACAAGGTCAACAGACATCTGTTGACCTCTTTTGGTTTGCTGTTTGGCAATCTCAATATCCAAAATACAACAATCTTGGTGTGCCCCTTGAGATAGGGGCAAACTAAATTTTGATTGTGAGGTCAGATAAAATCTTAAAACAATCCAAATGGGCCCTTCTAGGATTTATCTTGACTGGTTGTTGTAATGTTCTTGACAGGGCATGGAGAAGACCTTGCAATTTGTTGACCCAGTCTGGAAGAGATATTGTTAGAATTCCCAAAGCCTGCGGAGGTATTCTGTAGTCCATTCTCGAAAGGGAGCAAGAGCCACTTGAGGGTACAGGCTGAGGACGTGAGTGGCACGGTGTAGGTGACAGGTGGAAAGAGACATGTCACGTGGCACGAGCGGTACAGAGGAAGTGTCAGAGAGAGATTGAGAAAGTTTTATACACTTCTCTCTTGCCTGACAATACCTCATAGCCTGCACTCAAGTGAATCTTCAAGTCTTCGCATTGATCTCAAGATAATCATTTGAAATTTAATTTATTAAAGGCGACACGGACATTTGTGAATGTGGAAACAACTCGCAACAGAAAATTTCTTAATTAAGCACAAGTCAAACTACATGATTCAAGCAATGAGACAAGCAGAAGAAAAGAAGATCACACAAGCGGCCAGGGAAAAGGAGCAGGCAGAGAGTAGAGCGAAGAGAGCCATGTCTAGAGCCCCGAATCAGGTCAACCCAAACAGCCAAGAACTGGACACAGCACTAGGAAGTGGAACATCGATCCTGGAGAAGAAGAACTCGAAGGATTTAACGGCTTCGACTTCGAAAAGCTTAGTCCAAGTGAAGGAAGAAGATCAAGAGAAAATGATTGGAGACTCAGGACAGAGCGACGAGGAAGAGATAAACTCGGGAAAGGAGTCGGAAGAGATGTCGGAGATATCGGTTCAAGAGAAGACTAAGAAGCTGGTGAAGAAGAAAGGAAAGGAGAGACGAAGATCGTCAAGCGATGAAGAGAGAAATCAGTCCTTGAATGTAAAGAGAGGGAAGTTAGGAGTAGGGGATTACTCGAACCTAGTGGAAAAAGACCATTGTAAGCAGAATCCGATTCTGAGATTTGCTGTCATTGTCTAGCTTGGGAGGTCTGGTAGTGTAGAGCTGTTTTTGCTCCACGGAAGAAGGGAATTCAGAAGTCGCAGATCTCGTCGAGCTGTTTTCGCTCCGGTTCATAAGTCGAACAGCGGGAAAGGATGAAGTGATCCACCCTGAAGGGGAGGACTCCCTTGAACGGAAACCAGCATAATGCTGTGGCCCTAGCTCCCGTAAAGGTTGAAGCGAGCTGTGTAGCTCATAGAGGCATGAATCAGTTGAAGCTCGGGATACAAGCAAAGAAGAGAGGAGGAACTGACTAGTAGCGTTGTCCCCCTCTGATTTCATGTAGATCGAGGTCGCCCGTCAGTCGATGATGGAAATCAAGAAAAAGCCTGGAACAAGCAAGAAAGTGGCAGATCGTTGACTGACCGGTTGGTTGAAGCGGTAGAGAAAGGAGATATGGAGGAAGTGAGAAGGGTGAGGCGTCAACTTGATAGGTGGGAACAGGAGGTGGAAGAAGATAAAGGAAGGAAAGGAGAAGTGGAGAAGGGGAGTAGGAAGGAGAAGGAGACGGGGGGAAAGAAGAAAAGGAAAGAGGTGAAGAAACGGACTCATGGCAGGAAGTCAACAGGGAAAAAGTTGAAGAAGAAGGGTAACAACTCGTCTTCATCTTCGATGGATTCAGGCTCTTCCTCAGTAGATTCAGAGGGTGAACCGAGAAGCCGTAGGAACACTCCGTCTCCTACATTCAGAGGAAAGAAATCTTCAAGCTCGAGCGACTCGGGGTCAGATTTGTCGATGGAGTCTTGGGAGGAAGAAGCCGAAAAAGAGGAGAAGAAGATGATGTTTAGCTTCAAGCCAGTTTCAGGTTTCGATTTGAGGGATCTCCCTATCCAGTGGGAAAAGAATTTTAGAAAGATGAAGTATTATGTTCCACTCACAGTGTTTTCAACAACTTACATAGATGCTTATCATAAGTCAGTGAAGTCTAAAGTAGGCGGGAAAAAGTGGGATAATTTCATGGAGCATTCAAGAGAAGAGCTGGAGCAGCAAATGTCGTATGGTGAATTTATCCTAGCTTGTGACTTGGAATATAGATACGCGAAAGAGTGGTACAAGTACGATGACTATGCAACATACGTAGAAAGACACAAGACATTAGTGAGTATGCTAGTGAGGAAAC